AAATTAAAATGCGAAGCTGTTTTTGTCACGGATGCCGGTGTTGTTAAGTGGCTTTGAGAGGTTTAAATGTAACCAACTCACATTTGGAAACAAATGAAATAATCAAACGCCGGGAAGAGATCTGCTCAGCTGTCCTCTGTCAGAGGCAGGATGCTGGGGCAGAGGAGGATCCGGCAAGCCCCAGGCAAGGCCGCTTCTGTCCAGCCTGGGCCTGTCTCTCTCTTTTCCTAGATATATGCAAAGCCACAGCTTTTCCTGCAAACAACCCGCTCCCTCTGGATCTCTCTTCCCACCCCTCTCCACCATTCCCGCACCGCTGCAAGCTCACCGGCCAAGTGCCACGACTTCCTCCTCCCGTAGCGCCCGCAGCCGCCGGCCTGATCCGCCTCGTAGCCCACCAGCGGCGTGCAGACGCCGTCGGCCACTTGCCCCACCAGCAAGAGCGCCCCCGCGTGGCTGGTGCTATAGCCCAGGATGGAGTGGAAGTAAACCAGGAGGTAGGTGAACCACATCGAGGCGCACAGGTCGTTGAGGAAATGCCCCACCGAGTAGCTGAGCCGGGAGCGCGCCGACAAAGGCTCCGGCGGCGGCCGCCGCTGGGAGTCTCCCATGACGCACCAGCCGCGCGTAAAAGCGCACCAGCCGCGCGTAAAAGCGCACGGGCAGGGCGCATCAGCTTCCGAGCAGGCGGGCGTCCAGGGCGGGCCCGGACGGAGCCCAGCGGAGGCAGAGGAGAGCCGGGACGCGCGGGAGGCTCTGTCCAGCCATGCGTCCTCCGACCGGCTTTTTATGGGGTCCGGGAAACCCCCCGTGCGCGTCGGAGGCGCGTCCAGCTGGCCGGTTCCGCGGCGCCCCCAAGCGGGCTGGCACCACCACCGCGCGCAGATCTCCGCGCCTCCTCCTCTTTCTCCATCGCGGATCCGAGGCCAAGCCGCCGCCGGAGCCAATGGGCAGGCTCCGGGGGCGGAGGAAAACCCGCCCGAGCGCAGGAGGAGCCGAGCGCCGCGCTCCCCGCCCCGTTGCCGCCCCGGGCGATGCTGCTTCCTAGTAGCGTTAAGAGAAGCGAAACGGCCACGGTGGCAGATTCCTGGCGCTTGTGTCAGCAGGCGTCGGCCCCGCTCCCTCGGCTTCAGCGGAATCCTACTCCAGAGTAGACCCATTGGAATGAATGCCCTTGTAATTTCGAGGGGTCTGGCCCACGCTCTGCTTTCTAAAGGAGGGTTTCCCAATCCCAACGTGGTTTTTTTGGAACTACAATTCCCATCCTTCCTGACCCCTGGTCCTGCAAGCTAGGGATGATGGGAGTTGTAGTCCAAAAACAAGCGGAGACCAAAGTTTGGGAAGCCTTGTTCTCGAAAGGATATTGAACACACCTTTGAAGCCCGTGACTTCCCCCAGAGAACCCTGGGAACTGAAATTTTTCAAAGCTAAAGGTAAAGGGACCATTAGGTCCAGTCGTGACCGACTCTGGGGTTGCGGCGCTCATCTCGCTTTACTGGCTGAGGGAGCCGGGATACAGCTTCTGCAAATTAGCAGCTTTGTGAAGGGGGAAAACTACAGCTCCCATGAGCCTTTGAGGGAATTCAGGCACTTCCAATGAGTAGTGTATTGGGTGTGTGTCTGTGTGTGTGTGTGTGTGTGTGTGTGTTTTAGCTGTGGACACCTGAAGTTCTGTGTCCAATTCTGGGCGCCACAATTTCAGATGGGACGCGGGTGGCGCTGTGGGTTAAACTACAGAGCCTAGGGCTTGCCGGTCAGAAGGTTGGCGGTTTGAATCCCCGTGAGGGGGTGAGCTCCCGTTGCTCAGTCCCAGCTCCTGCCCACCTAGCAGTTCGAAAGCACGTCAAAGTGCAAGTAGATAAATAGGTACCACTCCGGCGGGAAGGTAAACGGCGTTTCCATGCGCTGCTCTGGTTCGCCAGAAGCGGCTTAGTCCTGCTGGCCACATGACCCGGAAGCTGTACGCCGGCTCCCTCGGCCAGTAAAGCGAGATGAGCGCCGCAACCCCAGAGTCGGCCACGACTGGACCTAATGGTCAGGGGTCCCTTTACCTTTACCTTTACAATTTAAGAAGGATGTTGACAAACTGGAAGGTGGGCAGTGGAGGGTGATGAAGATGATCAAGGGTCTGGAAACCGAGCCTGATGAGGAATGGTTGAAGGAGCTGGGGATGTTTAGTCTGGAAAAGAGGAGACTGACAGGAGATAGGAGAGCCATCTTCCAATGTAGTAGTATCTCGGGTTACATACGCTTCAGGTTACAGACTCCGCTAACCCAGAAATAGTACCTCAGGTTAAGAACTTTGCTTCAGGATGAGAACAGAAAGCGTGCTCCTGCGGCACAGCGGCAGCAGGAGGCCCCATTAGCTAAAGTGGTGCTTCAGGTTAAGAACAGTTTCAGGTTAAGAACGGACCTCTGGAATGAATTAAGTACTTAACCCGAGGTACCAATGTATCTGAAGTGCTATCAAATGGAAGAGGGGACAGGCTTTTTTCCTCCTGCTCTGGAAGGGCAGGACTCGAACCCGTGGCTTCGAGTGACAAGAAAGGAGATTCCGACTAAACACCAGGGAAAACTTCCTGAGAGTAAGAGCTGTTGTACTGTGGAACGGTCTCCCTTGGGAGGTGATGGACTCTTTTTCAACAGAGGCTTTTAAGCAAAGGTTGGACAGCAAATTGTCTCGGATGCTTTAGCTGAGATTCCTGCATTGCAGCGGGTTGGACTAGATGAGTCCTGGGTGTCCCTTCGAACTCTACAGTTCTACGATTCTTTGAACCTGCTGTTCCAAATCTGGGACGCTTCCCGTTCTGTTTCACCGTGATCTGCCCCTCCCACTCCCACACCACTTCAGACCCGAGCAAGACAGGGAACCCTTTGTGTTCGTTTTTAGGGCACCAGATTCTGAAGCAGGTTGCTGTAGACAGCTGATCCTATATCTTAAGATGCCGAAGGGCCAGGTTTAGCCATGCCTGGGCCCTAATTGATGGTCTCACAGCCCATTACCACATGCAACAAGTCACCTGATGCAATCCTGCCGGACTGTACTATTTAAGGACACAACTGGGAGACAGGAAAGCCCTTTATCAGCTCCATCTGGTGCACAGGATAAGACCCTACCTGCCTGCAGACTGTCTCTCCAGAGTGGTGCATGCTCTGGTTATCTCCCACTTGGACTACTGCAATGCACTCTATGTGGGGCTGCCTTTGAAGGTGACCCGGAAACTGCAACTAATCCAGAATGCGGATGCCAAACTGGTGACTGGGAGCGGCCGCCAAGACCACATAACACCGGTCCTGAAAGACCTACATTGGCTCCCGGGACGTTTCCGAGCACAATTTAAAGTGTTGGTGCTGACCTTGAAAGCCCTAAATGGCCCAGTATCCCTGAAGGAGCATCTCCACCCCCATCGTCCAGCCCGGACACCTGGGTCCAGCTCCCGAGGGCCTTCTGGTGGTTCCCTCCCTGCGAGAAGTGAGGTTACAGGGAACCAGGCAGAGGGCCTTCTCGGTGGTGGCACCCGCCCTGTGGAGCGCCCTCCCACCAGATGTCAAAGAGAAAAACAACTACCAAACTTTTAGAAGACATCTGAAGACAGCCCTGTTTAGGGAAGCACTTAAGGTTTAATAGGTTATTGTATTTTAGTGGTTTGTTGGAAGCCGCCCAGAGTGGCTGGGGAAACCCAGCCAGATGGGCGGGGTATAAATTATTATTATTATTATTATTATTATTATTATTATTATTATTATTAGACAATCTCCTCCATTTCAAATGCACCAACAACACTAGGATAGAGAACTCCTCTGCCCCCTCCCCACAGCTCCACAATATGAAAGCATGCATAGATTCTATGTTTATAGTCCTCATGACGTCCACATCTCTTGAAGTAGAAATCACATGCGCCGCTTCCGCCTAAAATCCTTGCTTTATATTTTTCTTCCTTCCCCTCTTCTGTGCCCCAAGGCATAAAACAAACAGCATCTAATTAGCCGGGGTTTTTTAATTGAAAAGCACAATGTTCATATTTGCAACAGAGGCCGGTCCATTTCACAGATTAACAGATTTCTAAAAGCCACCCTCCACCCCAATTCACGACTCGTCTTGAATTGGCCGAGGCAGGAAAGGCAAATTGGATCACCCCAAAAAACAGCTTTTGTTTGCAAGAGCAGTGTTTTCTGTCGGAAAATGTTAGCGGGAAGGGAATAGGGTTGCAATGAAAGATTCCTGCAAATCAGGGATGTTGTGTTCCGGTTGCGGACTGCGGCGGCCGTAATCGCTGACCGCAGGCCAGGGGAGTGGAAGCGGAACAACGTTCTGCCTGGATACAGATTCTGCCCCCAATTCCTGCTCTAAGAAGAGGCAATCCCCGTTATCAGGAGGGAATGCCTCTTCTATAAAGAGGCACGCCTCTAAAAATATCTAGAGGGATGTCTCTGGTTATAAGAAGAATCATTCCCTGCTCACGTGAAGCGATGTCTCTCCTAAATAGAGGCTTCCCCAAGGATAACTAGAGGAATCCCTCTTCTGAGTACAGTGGTACCTTGGTTCTCAAATGCCTTGGTCCTCAAACAACTTGGAACCAGAACGCTGCAAACCCGGAAGCAAGTGTTCCGGTTTGCGAACTTTTTCGGAAGCCGAACGTGCTCTGTTTTGAGAGTTACGCTTCCATTTTGAGCGTTAGGCTGAGGTTTGTCTGTTTTTGCTATCTACCGTATCTTTCGCTCTATAAGACGCACCAGACCACAAGACGCACCTAGTTTTTGGAGGAGGAAAACAAGAAAAAAAATATTCTGAATCTCAGAAGCCAGAACAGCAAGAGGGATCGCTGCGCAGTGAAAGCAGCGATCCCTCTTGCTGTTCTGGCTTCTGGGATAGCTGCGCAGCCTGCATCCGCTCCATAAGATGCACACACATTTCCCCTTACTTTTTAGGAGGTGAAAAGTGAGTCTTATAGAGCAAAAAATACAGTATTTTGCGTTTTTGTTTTCGCGGCTCTTTTTTCGTTTTGTTTTCGCGACTGTGCGGAACCCGGTTCAGCTACTGATGGATTGATGGCGTGGCGGCAGCACATTGTTTATCGCTTTCATTTTATGGATCGGCCATCTCGTCAGATAGCAAAGTCCATGTCAAATTGCTGTTTTTAAAAGCCTGGGACGGATTAATCCGTTTTGCATTCCCTTCTACGGGAAAGCAGTGCGCCTTGAGTTTGGTTTTGGAACGGACTTCCGGGATGGATGAAGTTTGAGAACCAAGGGACCGCTGTAGAGGCATTCCCACATCTCTCACACAAAACAGAGAAATGCTACGTTTAAAGATCAGGGTTCGGGAGACTGTGCAGGAGAACTGCTTCTAGGGACGCTTCTGAAGGTTTTCCTTGGAGTCATTTCAAAGGGCTGCTCTGGGTTCGAATCGGCACTCATCACAGCAGTTTCCGCTTCCTTTTGCACCTTCTTGGCTGGTATTGTCAGAGCATCTCCCTGGGACACCCCCCACTCTCGCCGGAACAGACCCTTGGCACAATCTTGGATATAATCACGTCCAGATTGTTGTGGCTGCATTTGGGGGGATGAATGAACTGAAATCCCCTTATCCCCAGAGCCAGAGGCAGTCAAGATTCGGAGAGGGTGTCGGAGCTGGGCCGAACGGGGGAATTCGGCACCATGCGGCCAGTCACATTGGCTCCCGGCTGCCGTCCTCATCCTTCACCCCCCCAAGCCGGACTTTACATGCTGGTCACCTTGTCGCTATCTAGCTCCTTTTCGTGAGAGCTCCCCTCTTCGGGATCCATGGCGATGTTGTCGTAAATGTTGCCTGGGCTGGAAGAAGAAGAAGAAGAGTTTGGATTTGATATCCCGCTTTATCACTACCCTAAGGAGTCTCAGCGGGTGGCGCTGTGGGTTAAACCACAGAGCCCAGGGCTTGCCGATCAGAAGGTCGGCGGTTCAAATCCCCATGACGGGGTGAACTCTCATTGCTCGGTCCCTGCTCCTGCCAACCTAGCAGTTCAAAAGCACGTCAAAGTGCAAGTAGATAAATAGGCACCACTCCGGCGGGAAGGTAAATGGCGTTTCCGTGCGCTGCTCTGGTTCGCCAGAAGCGGCTTAGTCCTGCTGGCCACATGACCCGGAAGCTGTACACCGGCTTCCTCAGCCAATAAAGTGAGATTTGTCCATTTACTGTATTTATTTCCCCCGATTTTAACTATAAAATGGTGATTTTCTTGAGTCAAAATGAGAGGACCCCTAAACATTTTTTTAAAGAAAAAAAGCACTGTTTTTATATATGTTGGAAGCCTCCCAGAGTGCTGGGGAAACCGAGTCAGATGGACGAGGTATAAATACTGTATTTTCTGGCATATAAGACTATTTTTTAATCCAGGAAAATCTTCTCAGAAGTCGCGGGTCATCTTATACGCCGGGTACAGCAGCAGCTCCGGCAGCAACTCCCCACCAAAGGATAAAACGACAGCAAATTAAATCAGAGGACACTAAGCTCTCTAGATGAAACAGAAATATGCTTGAAAATTGGCACCAGAAGCCCCCGGCCACTGGGAAGTGGGGCGGATTTCTGAGCCGGACTGGAGACTGGTTTTTTAATTTTTATTCGGTGTGCGTTGGAAGAGGGGTAGTCTTATACGGCGAGTATATCCCAAACTCTATATTTTAACTGGAAAAGTTGGGGGTCGTCTTATATGCCCAGTCGTCTTATACGCCGGAAAATACGGTAGCAAAAAACGCCTTTCTTTATTGTTCCTTATTTTTCAGAATCTATGATTTTGCTGCTTTAATGCTTTAAATGTTTAGGGAAGACAATCTTACTCGGCTACGAGTGATCGCCAAGAAGAAGAATGCTTTAAATAAAAGTGGTTTTTTTGTTTATACAAACGAACTTGCAGCAGAAGATCAGAAAATTGCTGTGCCAGGCGAATCAGAACGCCCATCGCATCTGCGGCCAAAAGAATTAAAACAGGACGAAATAGACACACAGACACACACAAACACACACCATCACAAAAGCCACAATATTTACCGAAGGTCGGTGCTCATCGACTTCCCTTCGCCATCCCTGCAAAGAGAACAAGGTCGTCAGTGGAGAAAGGGGAGCAGAAGGGGTTGGACTAGATGGCTTCTTGGGGTCCCATTCCAATTCTACATTTCTGTGATTCTAACCACCACCCAGACTTGACGGGCCCAATCCAGCAGGGCTCTTGCTATGTCCTCAACACCCTCGCAAGACCTCCAGGCGAAATCGTGAGGCCGCCGCTTGTGTGTCGAAGCGATGATTCTTCAACATCAACTTCGCTGGACTGGTCGTGTTGTGCGGATGCCTGAATATCGTCTTCCAAAGCGACTACTCTATTCCAAACTTAAAAATGGAAAGTGTAATGCTGGTGGTCAACAAAAGAGGTTCAAAGACTCTCTCAAGGCAAATCTAAAGAAATGTAGTATAAACACCGACAACTGGGAAACACTGGCCTGCGAGCGCTCCAGTTGGAGAACAGCCTTGACCAAAGGTGTCGTGGGCTTTGGAGACACTCGAACTCAGGACGCAAGGGAGAAACGCGCTAAGAGGAAGGCACGTTTGGCAAACCCTCACCATGATCAACTCCTGCGTGGAAACCTATGTCCCCACTGTGGAAGGACGTGTGGGTCCAGAATTGGCCTCCACAGTCACTTACGGACTCACTGTGAAAACCGTGTTTATGGGAGACAATCTGACTCGGCTACGAGGGATCGCAGAAGAAGAAGAAGAAGAGGAGGAGGAAGAAGAGGAGGAAGAAGAAGAGGAAGAAGGAGGAGGAGGAAGAAGAAGAAGAGGAAGAAGAAGAGGAAGAGGAGGAAGAATAAGAAGAGGAAGAAGAGGAGGAGGAAGAAGAAGGAGGAGGAGGAGAAGAAGAGGAGGAAGAAGAGGAGGAGGAGGAGAAGGAAGAGGAATAATAAGAAGAAGAAGAAGAGGAGGAAGAAGAAGAAGGAAGAAGAGGAAGAAGGAATAAGAGGAGCAGGAGGAGGAGGAGGAGGAGGAAGAAATAGTTGTGGCTTGGGGAGAGAGAAACAGCTCGCGGTTAAAGAAGGAAGCTTTCAAAAAGCGAGAGAGAGAGACCTACTTTTTCTTGGAGAAGAAGAAGCGATTGATGAGGGAGGCCACGAATATCACGCCAAGGAAACCGAGGACGGCGGCAAGGCCCACCAGCCAGGGCTGCAGACCGCTGGAGCCGTTTGTGGTCCTCGTCACGGCGCCTAAACGGATTAAGGTTAGGTCCTTTTGGGTCAAGCGGAAAAACTCCGGGCGTTGCTACATCATCCCCGCATCGCTACCGGTCTGTGTTTCAAAGAGGAGTCCAAAAATAAGGAGGCCTCTATCTATTTAAGCCTCAAGTCTCATGTGCCAGGGTGCATAATTATTATTATCAGTGCTTTTTTTCTGGGGGTACGCAGGGGTACCCCTAAACACGTTGTGAATCTTTATACTTTTGCCCATTTAATGTACAGTGGTGCCTCGCAAGACGAAATTAATTCGTTCCGCGAGTTTTGCCGTCTTGCGATTTTTTTCGTCTTGCGAAGCACGGTGTCAGGAAAGTTTTGGAAAAGCTTCAAAAATCACCAAAGTCTTTAAAAACCACAAAAAGGCTACCACACCGCGTGCTATGAGTTGCTCCCCGAAGTCAAGTCGCAACTGTATTCACGGTGTTAAGAAAAAGGAAGCAAACTTGCAAGACGTTTCCGTCTTGCGAAGCAAGCCCATAGGGAAAATCGTCTTGCGAAGCAGCTCAAAAAACAAAAAACCCTTTCGTTCTAGCGAGTTTTTTGTCTTGCGAGGCATTCGTCTTGCGAGGTACCACTGTATTTATTTTCCCCAACCTGAACTATGAAATGGTGATTTTCTCGAGTCAAAATGAGAGTACCCCATAAACATTCATTTTTTTTAGGAAAAAAAGCCACTGGTTATTATTATTATTTATTATTTAGTGGATTTATATACCGAACTATACCTGGTGTGTGTGTGTGTGTCAGGGCTGTTCACAGAATCAACTCAAGATATAAAACCACAAAATACCGTATTTTTTGCTCTATAAGACTCACTTTCCCCCTCCTAAAAAGTAAGGGGGAAATGTGTGTGCGTCTTATGGAGCGAATGCAGGCTGCGCAGCTATCCCAGAAGCCAGAACAGCAAGAGGGATTGCTGCTTTCGCTGCGCAGCGATCCCTCTTGCTGTTCTGGCTTCTGAGATTCAGAATATTTTTTTTCTTGTTTTCCTCCTCCAAAAACTAGGTGCGTCTCGTGGTCTGGTGCGTCTTATAGAGCGAAAAATACGGTACCTAATAAAAATTAAATCAAGAAGTCAATAGCTCCCCCAGACACACACAAAAAATACTTTTTAAAAGGGTATAGGATGTCCATCGGATCAACCAAAGGCCTGGTTAAAAAGGAATGTTTTTGCTTGGCACCTAAAGGTGTACTTCCCTGGGGAGAACATTCCCACAAACAGGGAGCCACTGCAGAGAAGGCCCCGTTCTCGTGTTGCCACCCTCCGCACCTCTCGAGGAGGAGGCACACGAACGTGGGCCTCAAGATGATCTCAGGGTCCGTGTAGGTTCATATGGTGCATCCAACATTCACCAGAAGCTGTAAAATGAAGGTGCTTAGGGGCCACCACAGAGAAGGCCTTCACCCCGACACCCGACAACGCCCCAAGCCTCTACTACTTGAGGACTCGCCTATATACCCGCTCCTCTCATTTCATCCTCCCAACTGGCCCGCACGGTCACACCCGGGGAACCCAATGCTCTAACCGCTAGGCCACGCTGCCTCTACGAATCAGGAGGTGCGGATCTGCTTGGCAAGATTCTGAACAAGTTCCGCCACCTGTATCCGAACCAGATTCCTTCCCGGGGAGCCCTTGGCACACTCCTACCTTGGCCGTGGGCACAGGGGGCGAAGAAAATTCCCAGGAGCAGAGGCAGGTATGCGAACGGCTCCATCGCGTTGCTTCGATATTTGCTGTTCGGCGAGGCAGGTCTGTCCTTCCTGGTTTCTGTATTCATGTGTGTGAGACAGGAGATATCTACTTTCCTTGCAGGCTTAACTCTGGACTCTGAATCAAAGTGCATTTGATAATGGCAGTTCCGTCGGGCAGCTCTGCCTTCACGTGAGATGCCCGTGGAACGAGGGTTCGGCCGGGGAAAGGAACAAGCCGCTCTGCTTTCGCATGCAGGTGGACACGAAACAGATCCCGGCTGCATCTGTGGCATTCTCATCCCCTTCAACGTTTCTCCCCTGAAAATAGAGCCGTCCTATTCCATCCCCTCCAACATTTCTCCTGTGAAAATAGGGACGTCCTTTTCCTTCCCCTCCAACGTTTCTCCCCTGAAAATAGGGACGTCCTATTCCATCCCCTCCAACGTTTCTCCCCTGAAAATAGGGACGTCCTATTCCATCCCCTCCAACGTTTCTCCCCTGAAAAGAGGGACGTCCTATTCCATCCCCTCCAATGTTTCTCCCCTGAAAATAGGGACGTCCTATTTCATCCCCTCCAACGTTTCTCCCGTGAAAATAGGGACGTCCTATTCCATCCCCTCCAACGTTTCTCCCCTGAAAATAGGGACGTCCTATTCCATCCCCTCCAACGTTTCTCCCCTGAAAATAGGGACGTCCTATTCCATCCCCTCCAACGTTTCTCCCCTGAAAATAGGGACGTCCTATTCCATCCCCTCCAACGTTTCTCCCCTGAAAATAAAAAGGTAAAGGGACCCCTGACCATTAGGTCCAGTCGTGGCCGACTCTGGGGTTGCGGCGCTCATCTCGCTTTACTGGTCAAGGGAGCCAGCGTACAGCTTCCGCGTCATGTGGCCAGCAGGACTAAGCCACTTCTGGCGAACTAGAGCAGCGCACGGAAACGCCGTTTACCTTCCCGCCGGAGCGGTACCTATTTATCTACTTGCACTTTGACGTGCTTTCGAACTGCTAGGTTGGCAGGAGCAGGGACCGAGCAACGGGAGCTCACCCCGTCGTGGGGATTCGAACTTGACCTTCTGATCGGCAAGTCCTAGGCTCTGTGGTTTAACCCACAGCGCCACCCGCGTCCCTTGAGGAGCATAAATGGCCTGGCACATGCCCAACTGTTCCAACTGCAAACGGCAGTCTGTTCCTGGCATTTGGACTCTGACCCAAACATGATCTGTGGGCGCCCTGCCAGCCGCGGGAAAATCGGTGCCAGTCTGGCAGAAAGGGAGTGGCTGGGCGAGGAACATTGAGATTCAAATCTCCTCTCCTCTCAGGTTCTCCTTTTTCCAGTAGTTAACTCCAGCTCTCTATATTTCAACAGTGGTTTGTAATTACAGTGGTACCTCGGGTTAAGTACTTACCGTATTTTTTGCTCTATAAGACTCACTTTTCCCCTCCTAAAAAGTAAGGGGAAATGTGTGTGCGTCTTATGGAGCGAATGCAGGCTGCGCAGCTATCCCAGAAGCCAGAACAGCAAGAGGGATTGCTGCTTTCGCTGCGCAGCGATCCCTCTTGCTGTTCTGGCTTCTGAGATTCAGAATATTTTTTTTCTTGTTTTCCTCCTCCAAAAACTAGGTGCGTCTTGTGGTCTGGTGCGTCTTATAGAGCATAAAATACGGTAATTCATTCTGGAGGTCTGTTCTTAACCTGAAACTGTTCTTAACCTGAAGCACCACTTTAGCTAACGGGGCCTCCTGCTGCCACCGCACCACCGGAGCACAATTTCTGTTCTCATCCTGAAGCAAAGTTCTTAACCTGAGGTACTATTTCTGGGTTAGCGGAATCTGTAACCTGAAGCGTCTGTAACCTGAAGCGCATGTAACCTGAGGTACCACTGTATTATTTTTTAATCCTCAAGCAAATTCATCAGCATGCAGGATTCTCAGCTAAAGCATCTACGACAGTTGGAGGGCTCTTAAATCTTCTGAATATACACATTTCCCCTCCGCAGAGTCATTCCCCCTAACACAACATGTTTCGTATGCTATTTTCTTTCTCCTTTTTAAAACACAGCTTTTATTAAATTTCCCGTTTTACCATTTGAAGCACTCGTTTACGCATCCTTAAGATTTCCATGACCTTTCTTCTCTTTCCATGGTTCATTTTGCGTATCATAAATCCCTGCACATTTTAATAATAATAATAATAATAATAATAATAATAATAATAATAATAATAATATTTATACCCCACCCATCTGGCTGGGCTTCCCCAGCCACTCTGGGCGGCTTCCAACCAAATATTAAAATACAGTAATACAGAAACTATACCATTCAGGATTCCATTATTGCATCAGTCAAAGCTTCTTCACCCTGTCAAATTTATCTTAATGCTGCTGGCGTTTTCAGCTGTACGCAGTTATTTCCCATATATCCAATAAACGTTTTCCAGTCTTCTCTAAACGTAAACTGCATGTTCTTCTTGTTCTCTTAAGTCCGTAAACTGAGCATATTCCGTCAGCTTAAGTTGTCATTCTTCTTCGGCTGGGACCTCACTCGTTTTCCATTTTTGGGTTAACGAAACACGGGCCACAGTAGCGGCATACATAAATAACCATTTTTTTTTGACACCTGGGAATTTCCGTCTCAATTATGCCAAACAGAAAGGACTCTAGTTACAGGTAGGTAGCCGTGTTGGTCTGCCGTAGTCGAAACAAAATAAATAAAATAAAATAAATAAAATTCCTTCCAGTAGCACTTTAGAGACCAACTAAGTTATTGGTATGAGCTTTCATGTGCATGCACACTTCTTCAGATACACTGAATATATAAGGGTCTGGTGACTTCTGTTTCAGTGTATCTGAATGATAAGTTGTGGGTGAACATATCAGACAACACAGCGATTCTTCAAACAGCTCTTGTTTATTCACAGGCCAGAACAGAACTGAACTGAAGGGTTCAGCCAGCCTGCTTATATAGAGCTCCACTAGAACGCAACAGTAACCATTTTCTGTAACTATCCAATCACTGAACGTCACTTTCAATCCCTTATTTGCATATGTGGACCTGAGTGAAAACTATCTACAGTATCCCCCTGCTGGCTCAGGGTGAGAACTTCAGTACATAACACTGAAGAAGTGTGCCTGCACACAAAAGCTCATACCAATAACTAACTTAAAGGTAAAGGTAAAGGGACCCCTGACCGTTAGGTCCAGTCGTGGCCGACTCTGGGGTTGCGGCGCTCATCTCACTTTACTGGCCGAGAGAGCTGGTGTACAGCTTCCGGGTCACGTGGCCAGCAGGACTAAGCCGCTTCTGGCGAACCAGAGCAGCGCACGGAAATGCCGTTTACCTTCCCGCCGGAGCGGTACCTATTTATCTACTTGCACTTTGATGTGCTTTGAACTGCTAGGTGGGCAGGAGCAGGGACCGAGCAGCGGGAGCTCACCCCGTGGCGGGGATTCGAACCGCCGGCCTTCTGATCGGCAAGCCCTAGGCTCTGTGGTTTAACCCACAGTGCCACCCGCATCCCTCCCAATAACTAACTTAGTTGGTCTCTAAGGTGCTACTGGAAGGAATTATTTTATTTTGTTTTGTTTTGAGAAAGGACTCTGGGGGGGGGGGGTTTGGGGGGGGGAGTGCTTTTAAACATTTTTTCCCCAATTTGTTATGGATCATTTCCCAATACTCTTTTACCCCTTTGCAAGTCCACCACATACGGAAAAACATCCCCTCGCACATTTTACATGCTGTTTCCACCAACGCAGGCCTTTCCGAACTTTACCTCAGCAGATGGGTTTTTTGTACCCATTGCTCATGCCGGACATACTGCATCTCAAAAACTTGAAGCGGGGCGAGATTTGAAGGGCTGCTGTGTTTCTGTACCATTTGGGAAAGCACCAATTAGGTTGGGTTTGCTGTTCAGGAATCCAATTCCATCTCCGTACTTAGCGGGAAGGATTGCTCCAGATTTGCGGTGGCGGCACGAGGGCAGCTGGTACTTTGTGGGTCCGGATTAAACATCAAAGGCCCTGTCATGTGTGGTGTTGTGGGAAAACTCATTACGAGGGAAGCTGGCTGCCCCAGATTTTGACTGTAGCACAATGACAACAAACAAACCTATGGTCACGCAAAGCATACTCAATAAAAACCGCCTGTGTTCTTAGATAAATAAGGTATACTATTCATGTATCGAGCAATGACAAACCTAGACAGCATCTTAAAAAGCAGAGACATCACCTTGCTGACAAAGGTCCGTATAGGTCAAGCTCTGGTTTTTCCAGTAGTGATGTATGGAAGTGAGAGCTGGACCATCAAGAAGGCTGATCGCCGAAGAGTTGATGCTTTTGAATTCTGGTGCTGGAGGAGACTCTTGAGAGTCCCATGGACTGCAAGAAGACAAACAACAGCCTGAAACTGGAGGGATCCAAAGCTCAAGACTTTGCACCTCATGGAAAGAAGACTAGACCGATGGAGGCCGAGGGAGGGACGACAGAGGACGAGAGGGGACCTGAAGCTACCACATTTCCTGGGAGGCAGTCGGCGTGCTTCAGGGGTGAATATACAACAACAACAAAACAGGGGGAAAAAGGAAAGGAAAGAAATAGACGTCACAGGGAGCCTGGACATTCATATCCTGGGGTGATATATATATATCCAGTACGTTTGGGAGAATCTCTCTCCAGCTGATCCAAGCAACGACTCAGCCAGACCGTTCAGAGTTGTTGGAGGCGATGCGCAGCCCGTCTCCATCCCAGGTAAGGGGTGCAGGATGCGGCCTTCCACACACTCCACCCCTAGGAAAGGGTCACCCTTTTGCCAACCCGGACGATGGTCGAGAAAAGCTGCAATCTCACATCCGTCCGAGGCCTCTTCCAGCCTCTTCCTCTCTTCCAGTTTGGGACCAAAAGCCCAATCTGTGGATGGGGGGGGGGGGGAGAGAAAATTAAAACCAGCAGGTTTGGGCAGCAGAAAGCTGGGTATATCGCAGTGCCAGATTTTGTTGTTGTTGTTTAGTCGTTTAGTTGTGTCCGACTCTTCGTGACCCCATGGACCAGAGCACACCAGGATTTATGGATAAGCAAAACAAGCTCTAGTTTAGGGCCCCACTCTCTTGGGGGCCCCCAAAAATTTAAAGGAAAAAACAACCTGGATGTACATTTCCAAAATACAAGATAAAAAACAAATAAAATAAAACCTACATCCAGCAAGAGTTTTTTTTGTGTTGTGTAGGCTCCTAGGATATAAGTCATGGGCCCCGCCTGCTAGCCTGCTCCCTCAAATATCCCTGGTTTGCTCCTTTTAAAAAGCAGAGACATCACCTT